TTTCCTTTGGCTTAGCTTACTTAGGTTCCTGATTAATTTTAGTCCTAGTCTCAATCTTTTAACTCGCAACTAGTATTCTGCCTCTCTTAGGAATTCTGGTTACAAAGTTCATTATTAATTCACTTGGATCATCTCTTATGTATTAAGTGATGGCAATGCGTAAGGAACTGGGCTTCCATTCTGGGGAATGAACTCAATAGGCTTCCTCAGAAAACTACCAGAGGCTGACTTGTGTAGTAAACAGAACACTGAAGTTAGAGACGTGGGGTTTAGTTCTGGCTCTAGCTCGGACTTGCTCTCTGTCCTTGCACAAAGTCACTGAACTCCATTATGTTTCAAGTTTCACATCTTAAAATGAAGAGGATAATGTCGATTTGGCTTGCAAGAGAGTGGCTCTAATGGCTACAACTCACTAAAAACTATGTGTCAGCCACTGTGCAAAGCACTGAGTGTATTCAATCTCTTTCATTCTTCAGATGACCATATTGACACTCATCACGCTATTATAGTCCCACTGTGCTGATAAGAAAACTAAAGATGGGGAAGCTAAGTAACATTCTCAAGGTATCTAAGTCAGTTCTGGAGCTGAGGAGTGGATCTAGGTTAACCTCGTGGTCTCAAACCCCACTGCCTACCTCCACATTAAAAATTAATTAAGAATATACTTGGAAAACATTAAGCTATCCAATTTTAAGATATTCTTACTTCCTTCTATTTCCACCTACTAAAACCTGAAAGATGTAATTAGATCAGCTCTTTTGCTGGCTGCTTTTTTACGATCCAAAACTCACCTCAAATGTCCAAGCAAGAATTTGGAGGAGGAAAAATCATGACTTTCTAGCTGGCTTTCACAATTGACACAAAGGCTCTGGGTGGGCTCTATAAGGCCGCACTTCATATGTCTCAAACTTTCTTAGTGTCTCTGCCCCTCCCTCCACCCTTTTGGTGGCTTGCCTTTCATGAGATGCCCAGAGGCCCACTTTCAGCCAGGTATGAAGACTAGAAGCTTTTCTCCTGGGGAGAAAAGTGAATGTGAATCTAATCCTTTGAAGATCTAGTTAACTTACCTTATAAATCAGGAATGGATCCCATGAAATACATGAACAATTTCTCTCCCCAGAACCTTTGCCAGACTTGGCATAGGCTGGTCCATTAGAAATAGATAATTGAATATTATTAACAATTCAATTCTTCAACCTCTCTTTGATCAACAGTTCATTACCAAAGTTAAAACTGCCAAAATGGGCAAACTCTTCAGCCTCTTTGACCCATATTTGCATGAATATTATGCTGTGAATGTTACGCTCCTTTGAACTTCAAAAGAGCTTCCTGGCCTCACTGACTACAACTTTAACAACAGAGCATAATGGAGTTACAGAAAGACCCTTTCCAGGCTAAACACCTCAAACCTTGCTGATGCTGGACAGTAACAAACTTTCAAATAAGCAACAAAGGCTCGTTCATTCATTGCAATGCACTATCAGTTTTTCCTGGTCTCCTGAGCCTGTCTTCTCTGTTGTGAGAGCAACTGTTAACTATGGCTAATTAGCTACCAGCAAGTGGCAGCACCCACCTTCACCATTCCTTGTGAAAAGAGCCTTCTGCTAACAAAGCATTTTCTACAGACCTCTTCAGATTTTTACACTAATTGAATGAGCATCTTCGACTCTAATGGCACCCTCCCCCAGCCAGTTCCACTCTGGTGCCCCAAAAAGGAGAGCAAACAGGCTACAGAACACCCTCCTTAACCTGGAGACCAATATTCTGACTAACCCTTGAAAGATCAGAAATTTGCCAACTGTAAAACTTTTGGAATAGATGGAAGAAGCAAAAGGACAAACAAAATAACATTCATAAACCTACCACCCAGAGATTTAAAAAATTCTTCCTAAGTTGTACACTGTACATGAACATAAATTTCAGATGGAATAGAAACTATGGGTAAAACCCTAAATTATGGCAGCAGAAGAAAATATAAGACTATAGGATGGGAAAGACCTTCCTATGAATAAGAAGATGTCCAGAGGCATAAAGAAAATTAATGATGGATCTGACTACATAAACTTTTACAACTTGTGTACAGGAAGATACAACTTAAAATTTAAAACAAATCTTAGACTGGGAAAGTAATATTTGAACTGTGAAAGGTAAATAACAAAATTTGAAGTAACAAAGGCTAATAAATAAGCTTTTAAATTCATAAGTCAAGTAACCCACCTGAAAAGCAGTCAATCCACTGAACAAATACAATTGAACTAAAAAGTAATTGAAAAGCTGTTCCAATAACAGGAAAATATCAAATCAAAGCTGAAATATAATTTCCCCAATTAAAGTGATCTAAACATATAAAAATGAATAATATTCTTGGTAAAGAAATTGGAAATCAGTACTCATATACAGATGGTGAGGGTACAAATTAATACAACTTATTTGAAGGGTAATTCGGCAGTACTTACTAAGATTAAAAACTAAACATATACCTTTACTAACAATTCTTCACAAATACTTGCATAAGTGCCTATGGTGTTTGTTAATGCCTCAAGAACTGGAAGCAACCTAAATATCTACAAATAGAGACTGGTTAAATAAATTGTGGCACACTTTTGCAACTGGAAATTATGCAAGCCTTAGAAAGACCACAGCACTGTTACATTGCAATACTCTGACACAGAATGATGTCTTGGACACAATGTTGAGTAAAAGCAAGTTACTGAAAATATATATGATCTCTCATCTTTGTAAAATAGAAAAGAAAGAACTCTACAGACATATATATATATATATATATATATGATTTTACAGCACAGAGAAGAGTTTGGAATTAATAACAGTTATCCCTGGAGTGTGTAATGGAAGTTAAGGGCTATATGTTCTTTAGATATTTTCTTATCATTTTGTATAGTGAGCATGCATTAACTTTATATAATTTAATAAATTTAAAGATAAGTTAACCCAAGGATTTTCCAGGGCCACTAATTTTTCAATAAACAGTGTTTTACAGTGTTTTAACAGTAACATGATGTTACATTACTTGGATCATTTATGTAATCACTTTTCACTGGAGGGAGTGCAATATAAATCGCTGTGCATACATATTGTGTGTGTCTGTACATGTATGTGTGTGTATCAAACAATATAGATAGGGTGTATGTTTTGAGGTTTTTCCAATTGGAGGAGGTAACTTTGCATGTCTCTGAGGCAGTTAGCTTGGACAAGGCCACACAGAATGATGCTTAGTGGCTCATGACATTAAAACTGAAACACTAGGACAAGAACTGGTGCTCAAGGCCATCTGTTATATAATCACTCTGACACCAACTGAATATCAAAAGGGCTTGGGACAAATTCATAGACACAAGGAAATAGTAAACAGTAGTAGTTTGGGGTCTATACATTTTTCAAGTAGCGTCTTTCTCTGGATTGCCAACCTAGCTCGAACTCTCATGGACCATATTCCTCAATTTTTCATAAATATGGAAGGTCTACACAAGGAGATGGTCTTTTGCAAGCTACAACCCCATTCCCCATGAGGCCATGTGTTAACTGATAATAAAAGAAGTCTCTTTCTGAGGTAGGAATGATTTTTAGACCTAGCTGATTTGTGAGCTGAGTTGAGAATGAATGGACAATGTTTCCATCACATCCACTTAACTCAAGGAGGACTTCTGGAAGAGAAGGGTTCTGAGATGGGCCACGTGAGTACTCACATATAAGTGAAAAGAAAAGGAGGTAGTTTGAGAAACACACAGGGAGAGGCTGATCCAAGCCTCCTTGCTGAGATCATGCCCTGCTAAACTTCCTTTTGTGTCCCAATCATACGAGATATCACCACAGATCACTCATGCTTAAAAGCCTAATCAAAAGCACTGTTTCTCCTAGGAAGAAGAGTAAGTTTGCTATGAAAATTGTAGTGGGACAGAAACTCACTTAACGATGCAATAGCCTTGGCACCATTCTCCTTGTCAGCAAGCCTTCTGCCAGATATATTTAACTTATGCTGATAAAGGAGATAAATGTTTAAGTGATGGGCTTCAGATGCTGCTTCGGCTCCTACCAAGAATATTTTCACAGCTCCTTCTCATGAATAAGTTCAGTGGAGCAGAGAATGCTCCTCTTGGACCCATTCCACTTTGTGCTTCTTTTGATGCAGCCAAAAATGGGAACTAGAGCTACAGCTTTTCCTGCAAATTCAGAGCAAGCGTCTACCTCAGAGGGAGTACAAGTGGCCCAAAGAAGGTAAGGCCCACACTGTGCAAAGGCAGCAGAAAGCTTCTAAGAAGAACAGAGATGGCAATGGTCACTCATAAATCTCCCAAATGTGGTGGCAAGGAGGGTTAATTATCCCCGCACCCCGTACCGCCACCCTCTGCTTTCTCCAAAGTGTTAGCCCATCACACGGATCGCTGACTTTCTAGAAATATTCCCTGGCTTTGCAGGGACGTTCCTTTCAATAAATGGCATCCAATTTGCTAACAGTCCCTGGAATCTCAATTTCCTCAAAGGATTTTTTCATCTGAATCCAGCTCATGTGAAGGTTTCTTCCTTCTTTGTTTTTCAGCATAAGGGAATAGGAGGAGCCTGCTTTCCTTTTCCTTTTTTTTTTTCTTTTCTGTGTTATTCTTTTTCATAAACTGAAAACCTTTGCTGAAGAGTCTGAAATTTGGGAAAAAATCCAGCTCATCTGTCAGATATTTCTAGAGTTACGTAAAATGGAATGAGATTTGTACAGTTTAGAACAGGAAAGGGAAAAGAGGCTAATGTGTCATGTGTTCTATGAGATGAAAACTATATGATAATCAGAAAAACAGTACTAAATTTGGTTGGCCGATTCAAAGCTCTCATTCTTTTATCAACTCATACATAAACCAGTGACATTCACTTTTTTCTCATAGAATAATTGTATGACCACATTTGGGCTAAATCACAGTTCCTACAGATTATAACCACATTTTCAAAGAAATTATAAGCAACTATATTATTTTTAAACTCAAGATACTTACGTTTGACTTGCTCTGTTTTGCTTCCTTCTAGGAATAGAAAGAACAAGAACAAGGAAATCATATATTTCATGCCTCCCATTTTCCACTTTTTTCTTGTTTGGAGCACTGTAAAACTCAGTTCAGAACCTTCCAGGCCCGGTGTACTCAAGCTGTCGGAGGAAAAAAGCAGGAGAAAGACTTAAAACAGATCCCCTGGAACTGATGGAGACCACTGATGCTTAGGCTTCTAACTTGCTAGAAAAAAAAATGCCAAGGAATTTACATAAGTGCAAGCATTGTTTGCCTGCATAAAAAAAGGACTTGCCTCTCCTGACTAGCAAATACTGTGGGAGAAAATTCAAGTGAATGAGCATGCATTCCTATCCAATGCTGAGCTGAGGCAAAAATCCTTACAGGCGTAAGAGGAAAACAAAAATAAATTTTGAAATCCTCCTTTCTAAGGGAATAAAAGTTGATTTCTTAAGAGATATTCTTTTGGAGAAAAGGGAAACAAGAGTTTGCAAAAGGGATATTTTGGCAAACAAGGTAAAAGTAATAGACATGAGATCTAAGCAATTTCTCAAATGAAAATCTGAGCTTCAGAACTACTGCTATCATTAATCCTTCAGGGACGAAATACAAATTGATCAATGTTTCTCTAGTGACATCTGTGAGATCTATCAGGATCTTCAGTTTGACTACTTCTGTTGGAAAAGATATGTGCAATTAGCAAATGGATGCATTTAAACACCTGAAAAGTTTTACTGCTTAGCTAGAAGGGCTCATACTCCTTCCCAATGAAGTCCATTGTGAAATGGAAAAATTCAAATGGGCCATTTACAGGGGAATTAGGCAAATTTAAATAGGCAATTTGTTCACCTTGCACCACCATGGAAAAGACCATTAAAGCAACTGCAATTCTTTAAAATATGAGATTGGCATTTCCAGTTTAAGGGTGGAAATCTTAAACCATTTGAGCCTTAGAACATGGAAAGCTTGCTAAAACTCAAATACAGTCACAAATCATTTCTATAGACTTCAGAGTCTGCAAAGCTCCTCCAATGGGTGATTTGAAAATATTTAAATATTCTAGAAATACAACCTTCAATCTGGGGTTAACCTGCGATAGGAACTGAACTCATTGATCATTTCAGAGTTCAACCTAAATACTGAGCATGAAGAACTCAAAGATATGCAAGATGATCATTTTGGAGAACTGAATATCTCTGAGTTCTGAAGTAGAGGCCACAGCTCCTACTTGAAATGCTATGAAGTTGCCTGGATCATTCAAAAAGCATTGTTTCAAATTATGAACACGTAACCGAGGAACAAACTAAGCATAGAGAATAATTTGTGCTATCAAACAGCATTTGCAGAACACGTTTGCCTTCTTCCTCTAACCCCTCCTTGTTCTTTAAAACAGGATCACATTTTCCTAGGACATGTTTCTAGCCTTCCAAAGGCCTGGATTCTGATATCTTGGTCCCTTCTGTGAGGTTATGGTCCACTTGCAATCACTCAGAACGTCTGTCCGCTGAGAGCTACCAGGGTCCCTTGGAGCAAATCATTTCCAGTGAGAGTTTAACACAGCTAACCACCTCAGTGAGGTTCTTCCTGTGCCTCCTCTAATAAGCTTAGCCCCCACGGCTCCAAAGAGAAGGATTTTTAACTGCTGAAATCCAATTCATCACACTCATATAATGGATCTCAGGGAAGTTTTTGTTTTTGTTTTTTAAACCATGGCTTTTGGGTCTCCCCATGCAAGAAGCAACAGGGCTGTTTTTCTTGTACAATAGCTGGGTGATTTTGGTGAACAGTAGCATTGCTTCATAACTCAAGCTGGCAAGAAAATGGCTCATAGAATATTTTTGCTTTTCTTGGGACCCAACTCATGTTATGCGCAAATAGAAAAGTTGGTGACTAGAGAGCAATTAATCTCTTTTGGCGTTCCTGTCATCTGTGTGGCCTCCCAAGCAGTGATGGAGAAGATCAGAAAATGCATCACTTTGCAAATATTCACTTTTAATGTATAAGATCCTGAAGTCCTGCCTTTGCATTCTGTGCAGAAATATCAACTCAGAAGAATTCCCTCCCCAGGCCCCCCCACCATTCAATTTCTTTTTCTTTTGGGGGAGCGGGGTGGCTCAAGACATTTGTTGGGACTGCGGCAGTAAACACAAGCAAGCATTGCTCAGCAAACATGCCGACTCTTATTCTTGCAAAGAGCCAAACTGTCCTTAATTTTTCAAATTATACTTTGACCCAGTTAACTGGAGTTATTTCTGCATTAACTCTCTGTCTGCTTCACACAGGCTGTTGTGCCATTGAACTTGCACTGGCTCTTCTACAGGTTCCTTAGAAATGCAGTCAATGATATGTTTGGGGGGCATCCAGGACCCAACCAGAAAGTAACAAAGAAAACAAAAACCTGCAACTAACCCTGGGGGTGAGGGAAGGGTGGGATGGGAGGGTAAGTGTGCTTTACAGGAGAACAAGAACTAGGTAAGATACCAGGAGAAGGTATTGATTAAGGTGTCTCTAAGAAACACACATTCACATTGTTTGTCTGTATCAAGCAAAGGGACCAGATGCTCCTTGCCCAGATGTAACCACAAGGTAACCTGGGCCATTAAGTGTCAGGAGCCCACCCTAAGAACAGGTCTCCTGGGTAGAAGAGAACCAGAGGCAACCCCAAAGGAAGGCAACGGGATGACCACAAGTCAGCCAGTTCTTCACGCCCCACAGTGTCTCTTTAATCCTCCGGAGAGGCTTGACTGACCTTGTAATCTCACATTCACTATCATCTGCGGGACAGCCCCTAGGGTAGCAATTTTCTTTCTGACAAACAATAAGAAAGGCACTGGCGTCTCAGGCCCTTGTCCATCAGTTGAAATCCTCTCCCTGCTCTCCCACCCAAAGAGAAAAGCTCAATTAATCCAGTGGCGGGTTGCCACTGAAAAATGGCAGTTTTAGCCCAGCGTAGCCCTTGTCAGAGACAACGTTTTCGTTGCTACTTATGATTGACAATGCCTTGCACTTGGCTTGCAAAAACACCTTCATATCTATCATTTCATTTCATTTCATTCCACCTTCAAAATTGGCCCACCCCCGGCGCACGGGGTGGGGGTGTGTGGAGTGGGGCCAGAGAATTCAAGTGACTTTTGTCGGTGGCATGGCAGGGAGGGAATGGGAGGCCCTGTACTCGGGGCAAGCCCATGTTGCTTCCTGGGCGTAATGCCTCAAACTCTGACCCCAAGTGGTCGGGGCCAGAAAGCGGGACAGATGTCCAGAGGAGAAGAGAACCGCCGCCTGCCCACCCTGTTTCATGTGTTCCTCAGCCACTGGTCCTGGGCACTTCCGTAAATGAGAAAACAGGCTCCAGGACACATGCGATAATTAAGGCAACTGCAGAGTCCCTTAGGTAGCTTGGCTGAGAGCACTCAACGGCCCTTAGAAGCTCCAGAGCATAGCGAAATGCAGGCCTGAGCGGGGAGTGGTGAGTGGTGAGTTCAAATCCAGGGACCCCAAGCTGCTAAGGTCAGGCGCCCTGTGCCCCAACTCCATCCTAGCCGCTAGCAGCTGGACCGTTCACCGGGTTGGGATGGCAGGTAAGGGGGGAACTTCCAGAGACGGCTCCGACCAACAGTAAGGCACCCCACCTGTGCAAAGGCTGGGAAGGGAGGCGGGAGAAGCGGGCTCCGGGCACAGCTCACTGACCTGGGCACTGGCCTCCTCCGTCTGCCACGCGTGCACGCGCTCCGAGCTCCCCGGGGCGCTCCTCCGAGGTCTGGGGCTCGCAGGTTGTGGCGAGAGTTAGAGTGCGCGCGAGGGGGGAGGGGGGACTCAAAAGTGGGTGGGAGGAAAAACATCACCGCCCTCACACCACGAGGGAGCCGCGGCTCGCTCCGCTCCCGGGGGCAGAGCCAAGGCGCGGGCGCGGCGGCCCAGGGCCACCTGCCCGCCCGCCCGCTCCCCACTTGGCCCCCGGGCTGGCCGCTCGGCGCTGGCGGGAAGTCTGTAAGCACGCAGCCGCTGCTAGCACGCCCGGCTTCTCCGTCCCGGCGCCGCGGCTTTATTCCTGCTCCCCGGCTCCGAAAGTTAAAACACCGGGAGAAAGTGTGAGGCTCAGCGGCGACTTTCCCATCACGCAGCGCCCCCACCGCACCCCCCTCCTTTGGTAGGCGAGCGCTGGGGTCTTAAAGGGGCCGCACAACTCCTCCCGCCCCTCCTCCCCTGTCTGCCCTGGAAGCCCCTGCGAGCTCCCCACCCCTCGCACGCGTGCCTAGGACCCTGGCTACCCTCCGACCCCCCTGCCTGGAAGCCCGTGCGCCCTGTCCTCTGGCACAGGGGCCTTTGCCTTGCACCTGGTCTGGTCCTAATCTGGAGCGCAGGACACAGGATGACCTTGTCTTGCAAATTATGCCCTCCAGTGCTACTGCTGATTTTGGGCTGTGCCTCAGATCCACAGTGGGGCAAGTGAAGTGACAATGCTTTGGCGTTAGGGTGCGGTGTGCGGTTGTCAGAGCCATTAAAAATCTGCTTTCTTCCACAAAGAGGGCTCCCACGCCCCAAGGAAAGGACTGCCACCGTTAAGTGCCTTGAAGAAAGCTTACAGGGGCCCACAGTTTCAGCAGTGCCGAAGATTCGGAGTTGGGCCAAGAGCTCAGAAGGCACAGTAGCACTGCTAGTGCCTTGCTGAGCCCGAGACAGACAGACTACTTCACTTTGTGTTTATTCCATGAGCCATAGTTAAGAAAGAAGTCCCAGAATCCTCGAGTGCCCACACAAGCACTACCGACGTACCCATTTGTATTTTAAGCCTCGAAATTTGGAGGCAAGTTGCAGGGCTTTGTAGTACACGAACTGGATCATGTTGATATTCCTAACAGTTGTGCAGTACCTTATGGCTTCCAGAGTACTTTCGTATTCAGTATACCAGTAACATTCTTCAGTCCTCAAAGAAACTAAACTGAGGCCTGAAATGTGAGTTGGTGGGGAACTTGTGAACCGTTCTGCTCAACCTGCTCATTGTGCACAAGAGGAAATTGAGCTGGGCTTCAGTGAATTATCCAAAGTCGCACAGCTAGGAGGTAAATGAAAGATCTGAGATTCCAGTTCAGATTTCCCAACTTTCAACCCACCACTTGCCTCTGGTTATCTCCAGTCTGTAGACGAGGAGATCAATGCTCAGGGAAATTGTGGCTTGACAAAAAAAAAAAAAAAAAAAATCACATATCAGGAACAGAGAACAAAGGAAAAACTAAATCAGTAATAATTTTCCTTGGAAGTTATCGCCTTTTTCTTTCTTTAGAAGTCTTAATATCATTCAAGTAGCCCTGGCATTGCCTGAGATGTTTATTTCACTGTTAACAAAGAAAAGGGGACCCTTTCTGAAATGTTGCCTTCAGGGCCCAAAATGTCTAGCTCAGTCCTGCTACTTGAGTATCCATACATTGCCACATGCATTCAATTTGTGCTGGAGTATATTAGTTGGAACTGACTGATTTGTTCCCTTATAACTGTTCTCATGCCATTTAATGCGCTGATGTTTTGTCTCACTAGACTGTAAGGTCTTCAAGGGCAACGACTGGTTGTTCAATTTCCTCTGTGTGTGCATTCCACAATTGACATAATCACTTCCAACATGCTTACAGGGTATTCATGAAAATGGGTTTCAAAAAAGAGTCTGGGGGTGGTGGTGTTTGGCGCAGTATTTAAGATGCCACTTGGGATGCCTGCATCCCATATTGGAGTGCTTGGATTCGTGTCCTGGCTACACTTCCAATTCCAGCTTCTTGGTAATGTGCTCCCTGGGAAGCAGCAGGTAATGGCTCAAGGACTTGGGTCCCTGCCACCCACATGGAGATCTGAATTGAACTCCTACCTCCCAGCTTCGGCCTGGCCCAGCCCTGGTTGTTGTGGACATTTGAAAAGTGAATCAGTGAATGGAAATTCTCTCAATCTCTCTCTCTCTTTCTCCCTCTCTCTCTCTCTTCCTTTCAATTAAAATTTTTAAAGAAGTAGTCTGTGAAAAATATGAATCCCAGTATTTAAAATGTGTAGACTTGGGGCCAGCACTGTGATACAGCGGGTTAACGCCCTGGCCTGAAGCGCCGGCATCCCATATGGGTGCCGGTTCTAGTCCCGGCTGCTCCTCTTCCAACCCAGCTCTCTGCTATGGCCTGGGAAAGCAGTAGAAGATGGCCCAAGACCTTGGGCCCCTGCACCTGTGTGGGAGACCCGGAAGAAGTTCCTGGCTTCAGATCGGCGCAGTCCAACCATTGCGGCCATCTGGGGAGTGAACCATCTGACGGAAGACCTTTCTTTCTCTCTGCCTCTCCTCTCTCTGTGTAACTGTGACTTTCAAATAAATAAATAAATCTTTAAAAAAAAGTATAGACTCACTGAGATTTAAAAGAGTCAATTGGCTACAACAACTTGCGCCTGCAAGTTACTGCATAACAAACTATCCCCAAATCTAATGGTTCTAAACAAATTGTTACTGTCAGTTGTTTCTATTGAATTTGTTTTACTGAAATTGCTTGGGGTATTTTATACAATCACAGGCAACCATGTATGGGGCTGCTGGGATTTTTGGAAAGGGTCTTCATTAGTTTAAATGTTAGTGGTCCTTGCATTACTTTGATTCTTGCTTACTGAATTGGGAACTCCAATTTGGGTGAGTCATAACCTAGACTTCCTACCAGGTCTTATAGAAACTGAACTGGGCCGGCACTGTGGCGCAGTGGGTTAACACCTTGGCCTGAAGTGCCTGCATCCCATATGGGCGCCAGTTCGAGAACCAGTTGCTCCACTTCCAATCCAGCTCTCTGCTGTGGCCTGGGAAAGCAGTAGAAGATGGCCCAAGTCCTTGGGTCCCTGCACCTGCGTAGGAGACCTGGAAGAAGCTCCTGGCTCCGGATCGGCGCAGCTCTGGCCGTTGCGGCCAATTGGGGAGTGAACCATCAGATGGAAGACCTTTCTCTCTCTCTCTCTCTCTCTCTCCCTCTCTTTCTCTCTGCCTCTCCTCTGTCTGTGTAACTCTGACTTGCAAATAAATAAATCTTTAAAAAAAAGAAACTGAACTGATGATTATCCTCATGCCTCATTTTCTCTATTTATTAAATGGGAATGAGAACATAAATCATTCATACATCATTTTAAAAAGTATTTATTGGCCGGCGCCGTGGCTCACTAGGCTAATCCTCCGCCTTGCGGCGCCGGTACACTGGGTTCTAGTCCCGGTCGGGGCGCCGGATTCCGTCCCAGTTGCCCCTCTTCCAGGCCAGCTCTCTGCTATGGCCAGGGAGTGCAGTAGAGGATGGCCCAAGTACTTGGGCCCTGCACCCATGGGAGACCAGGATAAGTACCTGGCTCCTGCCATCGGATCAGCACGGTGCACCGGCCGCAGCGCGCCAGCCGCGGCGGCCATTGGAAGGTGAACCAACAGCAAAGGAAGACCTTTCTCTCTGTCTCTCTCTCTCTCTCACTGTCCACTCTGCCTGTCAAAAAAAAAAGTATTTATTTATTTGAAAGGCAGAGCTCTGGGGAGGGAAAGAGAGAGAGAGAGAGAGAGAGAGAGAGAGAGAACTCTTCCATCTAATGGTTCATTTCCCAAATGGCTGCAATGGCCAGACTGAAGTCAGAATCCGGGAGCTTCATCCAGGTCTCCCAGGTGAGGGCAAGGGCCTAAGTACTTGGGCCATCTTCTACTGCTTTCCCAAGCACATTAGCAGGGATCTGGATCAGAAGTGGAACAGCGTGGACTCAAACTGGCACTCATATAGGATGCTGGCATTGCAGGTGGTGCCTTCACCCACTGTGCCACAACACCAGCCCCCTTTTTGAGATAATTGTAAATTTGCATGCAGATTTAATTCATAAGGATAATTCATAATAATTCATGTAATTAATAATCATATTACATTATAATTAATTAATAATTTAATAATTTAATTCATAAAAATGCTGAATACTCTTCACCTAGTTTCCCTCCATAGTAATTTCACAGTCAGGAAATTGACATTTTGCATTCCACTCACTTTAGTCTGATTTCATCAGTTTTTCATGTACTTATTTCCTCCTGTGTATAGTTTTACATAATTTTTTCACAAGTTTAGGTTCATGTGAACACCACCATAGATATAGAACAGTGCCAATACAACAATTATCTCCTGTGTGACTCTTTTGTAGTCACACTCAACTGCTTGCTTAATGATCCACCTATTGAAGGATTAATTCCAGCTTTCGGCTACTACAAATAAAGCTGCTATGAATACTTGTCTATAGATTTTTGCATAAACAAAACATTTTATTTCTCTGGGATAACTGCCCAACAATGCAATTCCTGGGTTGTATGGCAAGTACATGTTAGTTTTGTAAGGACTGCCACACTTTTTAGAGAGCAACTATCCTACTTTTTATATTCCCACCAACAATGGAAGAGAGATCTAGTTTCTCTGCATCCTTTCCTGTATATGTTGTTGTCATTGTTTTTTATTTTAGCCATTGTAATAGGTGTATATTGATGCATCATTGTGGTTTTAATTTGCATTCCCCAAATATCTAATGCCATTGTTTCATGTACTTATTCGACAAATATTTATATTCTCAAATGTTCTCTCAGTCTGCAGCTTGTTTGTTCATCCTTTTCCCAAGTACTTTTACAGAATAAAAGTTTTTAATTTCGATGAAGTTCAATGTATCAAATTTTCCTTTTATGGATCTAGTTTTGGTGTTAAGTCTGTGAACTCTTTGCCTTGCTGTAGATCATGAGCATTTTCTCCTATCATTTTTTGCAGTTTTACATTTAAATCTATGATCTGTTTTGAACTAATTTTTATATAAGGCATGAGGTTGAAGTTGAAGTTCACTTTTTTGCCTATAGATGTCCAATTGCTCTAGTGCCATTTGTTGTAGAAGCTATCTTTCTTCCATTGATTTGCTTTTATATCTTGATGAAACATTGGCTGGACATCTTTGTGTGGTCTACTCTGGTTTCTCTATCCTAGCCTACTGATCTACATGTTCATACTTCCACCAATACCACACAGTCTTGATTACTGCATCCAAATAGTGGGCCTTAATATGAAGTAGTGTGGTTTCTTCCACTTCATTCTTCTTTTCCAGACAGATTTAGCTGGCTGAGGTTCCATGAATTTCTATATAAACTTTAGAATAA